GCTCTAGTGCAGCAACTGTCGCAAAATACAACTTCATGATTTTGCGCTTCCTTATAAAGAACTGGTCTATCGACGCTTTGGCTTGGCTTGCTTACTGATATTCTCCGCGGTAAGGTGAAGTCAGAAGGCCTTTCACTTTCACTGGCCTTGATAATATACGAGCCGAAGTCGGTACCTATCTGTCACCCAACAGATTACCCGCATTACTACCCGTACGATTAGACCGATTTTGTGCTGCTTTTAAACTATCCCTTTATGACCTGTGCCTAACTACAAGTGTTGATCGCTCAAGCGTGACTGCTTCCATTCTTGTCATCCAGGGCAGGCTTAGTACTGCATCGGTTAACAATGTTCTTTGTTATTTCTGTCTCCCTACTCAGAACATATGCATTCGTTAATATTCATATTTCACATTTCTTATTATTACGCTGCACTGTGCAAAGGCATGAGGATACTAGTACTGAAAGAAATCATAGACGCTTGTCTTGACATGCCTTTTTTAAACGAAGTCCTTTCGACCTGCCAAAAAACGTAGTCGAATGTTTACCTAATATTCCGCTTAAGTAAAAAAGACAGATTAAATGTATTAGTTCTTTTATGACAAATTTATAACCGGCTCATGAAGTTGATAACTTACCTCGATTTTCGTTTGTGTTATTGCCAGCCTGCAGATTTATACCTGCATTTGATGCGGCATACGCAGCTGCCAAAGCAGTATAATCTGTTTCGGTGGGAGCAGAACCGCCGGTAATAGGTGGTATGGGAAGTGACGTAGGCATCCATGGACCCCATGGACCAGGAATTCCAGGAATCATAGGAGGTATCCATGTGGATTGTGTTACTGGCCCAAGTGGCGGGAACATAGGTCTTGGCTTGGCAAGATTTATTCGTACAATAGGTTTAACGGCTTCTGTAGTCACGATCTTCTCAGATGGGTTCTGTCCCAGTTCCGCCATCAATGCCGAATACTAAAATAGAAACAAGCTTAAATCATCAATACAGCTGCCAAAGTTTTACCTCTTCGTCAAGAGCCGTTCCACCAAGAGTGCTTGGAGTGGGATTCTTACAGTCCTTGGCGATATGGCCAGCTGCTCCGCATGCCGTACAATAAACATTTGCAGTAACGTTCGGTCGGTCAGGACACTCCCAAGATTTGTGGGTTGAAGCACCACAATTGGAACAACGCAAACCAGTCAACGCGAGTTCGTCACCGCGCAAAGTACCATTCAGGAGTGCCAGCTCTCTTAATTGTAGTTTACGTAATTCGTTCTGGGACTCAGGAACTTCAAGCGCTTGCTTAATAATTTCGCTGATCTATGAAAGGTTTAAAATAAGGGTAACTCGAGAACAAGTTCTGAATTTACCCTATTCACAGCTTTATGCAGCGAATCGGGGTCAGATGAAGTTATGTATGCATGTAGCGGTTCGTCTTCGCCTGGCAAAGGCCCATCCCGCTTACCGATTTTTCCCTCTTTGACGGATCCCTTACCGCGAATAATGATTCTCGTATTCGTCTATAAAGAAATACAGTGATATCCAAATTAAAATAACTCTAACATAAAGCCGTTTTCTGGATAAACATTCGAGTATGTTTATACGCCGGAGTAATGGGCGCGAGCTGGTTCTACCGAACAAACTGATGCGTGATACGTCTGGCATTGCAAGTATTCAAATATCACGGATCCGTCGCCTGTTTAAATACCTCACCCCCTAGGCAACGGACTTGCAATCTTGTCTTGAAGGAGTTGTGGTTGTAATCCATTTACTGAATTGATCAGATCATTAGCGGTATATAAATCACTAAAAGAGTGTATCGATCTTCATTTAGTTGCTTCAGAGACAATGCCTGGTGTGCATTTCCTGACAGAGATGAGCTCACCGCTGTCTTTTGTCAGAAATTGTTGATACTAACGTGCTCTTAGTCAAACACCCCATATATATA